TTCATATGTTATTGTTATCTTGTTAAATTGTTATTTTTTTATACCTTGGTCTGTTCCAATGCGTCTAACCAATTCTCGGCCTCGTTCTTGGTAGGACAGCGGAAGTAGAAGGTCGTGTCTTTGAGCGACACGTCGAACCGCAACTCATCGAACTCATGGGCAGACACAATTGCTTCTCTGCAGTAGAGATGATAATGTAGATGTTGGCAGGCCATACAATTAATTCAATGAGCCTCTTGAGCGCGGGAAATATACCGAAAATGCATACTCTAACGTACAAATAGATACAATCCCTATACCCCTATACTCGAGGCGACAAACAGAATTCAGATCGCACACTGGAGCGCAAGAAGGCAATTACAATTCAAATCGCAAACTTGAGCACGCCAATGTGTTGTACATGTATATTCGTGCTTATCGAAGCAATGCAATGCGCTTACTCGAGGTCCACGGAACCTCTGCAATTGTCCATTTCGTCTCTGGAACGGTAGTAGTAGATGTTGCCGTCTCTCAGTTCTACCCATCTCTCCTGCCAGCCCCCAATGTAGTTAGTCCATTTCATCAATGTGCCCTCCATCTCTGTGGGCATGATATACGATTTTAATGTAAATGAGCATGGCAGGTATGTACATTATGATGATTTCATATGGTTGGCACTTTTTCTCAACATCCCCTACAGCTCAATGCGAATGAGAAAGATCGTAAAAGCGCAAAAACATGACAAATAAACACTACGTTGGTAAATAAGGATCCAAGGGTACGATATTCACTATGTGCTCCATCGGCATCTGGGCCTCTGGACCAATAGCAAAGTGCACGCCATTCATACAACAACACGCCCTGTATGATACAGCCCCAATTGATTCCTCACCGGGCAAATTAGGGTCCAGCGGTTCGAAGTCCACTATGTTCTCCAGCGACATCTGAGCCTCTGGACTAATAGTGAAGTGGACACTATTCCTTCCACTAGATGCAATACTCGCACCGTCGCCATCTCCGCGTGCTCCCAACGGTGACCCGATGCGATCGTATGCCGCAGAGGTCACGAGAATGGATGACAGAGTGCGGCCATGGCCCTTACGCACACGCACGTGCGATGTATCTGTTCAGAAATAATACACAAACTTAGTATAGTGTGCGCATATGATACACAGACTTAGTATGATGTGTGCATATACGTAGTATATAGAATGGATTTATGCACAGGCATGGATATGATTGTTGCTGGACAGGTGCCTTCGTTCATGCAGTGCAGAAATATATACACAAAATCACGTTCACGCGTGCCCTAAGGAGATCATTAATATTAATATATATATATCTATATATATATATATATATATATATATATGTGTGTGTGTGTGTGTGTGTGTGT